TTGATTATACAGAGTTGCCAAAGGGGGCACGTTAAGACTACAGTTTCCTCAGACCTCACTGAGCTCTCTGAAATGGGCCCATGTTCACTAAGTCCCCACTTGACTCTCTGCCCACCAAAGTTTTAAAGTCACTAAGCTACAGTGTAATGGAAGAGCACAGAGAGAAAATCCTCGTTCTTTGGAATTAGCCCGATCAGGGGTAGGTGGGAGCTAGGTTGCCAGGAGACCCTGGATACATTCACCCTCCCAGGTAACAAAGCAAAGCCCATAAGTGTCTGCTGAGAAGTTTACATGAGTACCTACAGTGGGAGGGAAGTTTATTATTTTTTGTAAATAAAACAAATTGTTCTTTATTAGCTCTTTATGCTTATTTTTAACAGAAGTAGGCATGCTGGTCAAGATTTTTCATAGTATCTGTGAATTCTGAAAATACATAATTCCTTTTGTGATCAAGATGTTTGTAAGAAGAATCTATTCTTACAATAGATTTTGTGTATGTGGCACACAAACAATGTATAAGAACACAAAAGTATCTATTTGTGTGCATCCAAACAGCATTCAGAGTGAAGAAAGATATTTATTTGATTTATGGAGTGGGCATATTTGAGCAACAGCTTTCACTGGAAAAGAAGGTTAATTTTTTCAATTTGACTGCTTTCTTATGGTAGAATTATTTGACAGACATTAATTAACTCTAAGGAATAAGGATAAATGTTTGAGAGGGCAGACAACATTTTATTTATTTTATAATATAAAGGCAGACTAAGAAGCCCATCTCCTTTATAATGTATAACAAATTTAGCCATTTAAATACAAATAAAAGAACAGATGCCCAGAAAATAGGTGCTACCAAAAAACTTAACACAGAAAGACATGAATGACAGCCTGAACGGTACACATGATAATTATTATTATCGTGTACACAAAATGATATGCAGAACATTCTGCAATGTTCTCTTGCACAAAGTACGTCCTGGCGCCAAATTGCTCAATATAATATACTTCAGCTCTCTACTATTCGACAGCCTTCTGGAATACGCCAGTGCTATTAAACTTCTCTGTGCCATTAGTCACACTCTGAGGTAAAGCCTACGCAGGAGGACTGCTTTTCCTGATAAATGAAACCTACATTCAGATGAGCTGTTTGCTCTTCTTTTCTGCTGTGCAATATTTTAGCTGATAGCTAGCAAGAATCAACATTTACTAATCTGGTTAACATCTTCTTTGAACATATTTCTCATTTTGATTTTAGTGATGTTATTGAAAATAAGCATTCAAATAATGATCTTTATTTCCTTAAAAGATCCCAATCATTTTCAGGAGAACAGCCATTTTCCTTTGCTTACTATACAATATTGCTCATACTGGAGTCCCAGCTATTCTGTATGGTCTCTTCCCATGCCTTCTGCCACATAAACCCCATACTTCAACCTGTTGCATCCATTGGTCCTCTAGTTCAGAGTCCTTGTGCATTGTTCTTCGACAATGTTCATTTCCACTTTCTAAAAGCAACCCTCCTGGTCCCCATCAATGCCTTCAATACCTTCCAATCCTTGGACCATCTGGAAGTCTGATTGGAGGCCACTGGTATCCCCTGAAGCAACAAAAATCACTAACCTTCAAGGGATTTCTGTCGCCTTGTGGTTGCTAGTCTGCTTGGTTTTCTCTACCCATCCACCAGCCTCTGGAGGTCAGACATGGTCTCTCATCTCAGTCTTCCCTTGGTTCACCCCAGGACCACCTGGAAGAAGCAGAGGTATTGTTGGCTGTGGATAGTTTACTTTCTGGGCTTACACCCTGCTAAATAGCATTGTTTAAAAATGTTTTATTTCATGAGACGTTTTAGAGAAAGGCAAGGCCCAGATTCCTTAAAAATAATTATCTCTAGTATATTGTTGAAATCAGATTTAAACATTATTGCTTTAATGCAGTATAAGTATCACTGAAATATTTTCTCAGACATAAATTACCTAGATCTGAATAATGAGATTTAAAATAAAGGAGCTCCACTTTGCTTCTTTCCCTTGTCTGGGAACTATGGACTTTTAATTTTATATATTGTTCACTTCTTTTAGTTCCCCTGTTCCTATTCTCTCCCAGGTTTAATCACACATAATGCAAGTGAAATTAATTCTACCAATCTGAGTAACACTAAAGTCCGAATTAATAATGCAATGTTGAAGGGAAAATTATCATTTTTCAATAAATATAGACATGAATTCTATCATGCCTCAATCCTTCAGAATATCCAAATTAGCAAGTATAAAGTTGGGGATTATACAAAGTAAATATGGCAGGGGATACTGCAAGAATAGAAACAGTTACTCTGTCTTACGGGAATCCCTAATGACTGGACCTCTACCTTGCCCAGCTGGCATGAACTCCTGGCTCAAGTGATCTCCTGCCTCAGTTTCAGGAGTTGCTGACACTAAAAGTGAATGGCACTATGCCGGACGCACTTATAACTTTTTAACTTACTCTTTTGCATTTTATGGTTTTTCTGTAATGTTCATATGGTGCTAACTCTGCCAATAACTATGTGTGTACAAATATATATGCATACACATATTTTGTTATGAGACATTGTGACTGAGGTGGACATACAAAGTTCATATAAATTGCCCAATAAACCATCTGATTATTAAATATTTTGTTGGAATTATGGAGAAAAGAGATTCAACACACTGAAATTCAAAGTACTAGAACAGTAAACTTACACAAATGGTCTTTTAAAATATGACTTGATACTTCTATATAAGCCAATCATCAGTTCTTCAAAACTTACAATTTAAATGAGTAAAGTTCTTTTGATTAGCATACATTAATCGTACAAAGGGGTTTCACAGTGATATTTCCAAAGATGTGCAAAATGGACTCTGATCAGATTCATTCCTCTACAGTGCTCCCTTAACTTCTGTTCTCCTTTAACCTTATTCAAAGTGCTTAGCAGCTTTCATTATGCAACCTTTATATACACATTACGTATGTGTATGTATATATACATATATGTATTCAATCATGTTCCCTGTACCCTCTCCCTTCCCTTTTTCCCACTGATGCCCGCCCCCCACAATCCCCTTTTTAAGCTTATGTCCCATTATTAGTGTTATTAACATGATTTTAGGTCTACATTCTACAGATGAGTGAAAACGTTCGATATTTGGCTTTTTGAGCTTGGCTTTTCTCCCTCAACGTGCTGCTCTCTAGTTCCATCTCGTATAGATAAAGTTTAATACGTATCTCACTATGCAGGGGAGTGTTGGGGGAGAAGGGACCAGTTGGTTGAATCTTGCCCCTTATGTTTTGCAACTTCCCATTTGAAAAATAGCCACTGCTTCCTCATCCCCAACACCCACAGCAACTCTAAAAGGAAAGTGAATAGGGATGGGCTCATCCCTTAAGTTTCTCAAGGTATCTGTTTAGGACTGACGGCACCAGATTAGGCCCAAGCATGTGTGTACCTGGCAGGGAGTGAGGGTCATAGAAACAGCAGGGAGACAGGGCTACACAGTGAGTGCCAGGTGGCCCAAACCTGGGTCCTAAGGGACCGCCTGGAGACCCGGGGAGCATAGGGCAGCGTGGGCCCGCTCGGCTCTGGTGGGGACGAGGGGCTGGGCTCCTGGCTTTCCAGATCAAAGGAGACTGATGCTGCCTGCAGCATGGACCCAGAGGATCCGGAAAGCAGGGGACCCCGGGTTTTCCCAGTGTCTAGGTTGCTTTCCTTTCTGAGAACTCCGAGAGTCAACGCTAAGGGGCACCAGAGGCTCGGACTGCGCTCCGCCTCGTCGGCTGCCGCGCCGCTGCGCAAGTCCTGCGGGCTGGGGGGCCACCGCGGTGGGGGCGAGCGCGGGGGCGGCGCGGGGACAGCCGCATCCCGGCAGGAATCCTCCGAGATTTAGGCTGGGGACGCGGAGAGAGCGAGGCAGCGACCCCAGGCAACGCTGGTCTTCCTGCCTTCCCCAAGACTGGAAGAGTCCACTTCTCATCGTTGGCTTTGCCACAGGAAAACCTGTGCAAATACGGAGCTGTCGTTTATGTGACTGTCATTTGCAGGTAGCTGCCGATGTGTGGCCACAGACCGAGGCGCCGAAGCGCACGCACAGTGCGTTCCTTCCGTGCAATAAAACCGACTAAGCAAACCATTTAACACAGTGGTTGCTGGGGCTCTCTAGTTGTCTGGGGATCCGAGACACAGTCAAAAGCCACCAAATGTCACTTCGTCCCTTGTCTGCTCAACCTTCCCTCGGGAGGTTGACGATACCCAGACCCTGGCCTCTATAAGGACCTCCAAGCACCCACCCACCCGCAACTCGGACTTTTTCCAGAGACACGGGGCGGGGGGTTGTTGGAGACCTTGGACAGCAACCTCAGCCTTGCAGTGCTCCTGCTGACTTTCTTAGGTGACAAAAGAAAATAAAAAGTGGGGAGGGGACGGAAGGGAGAGGGCCCGAGCCCGTGCGCAGAGGGCCGGGCGGGGGCCGGGGCGCACATGGCCTCTCCCCGCTCCCCACGCCGCCGCCCCGCGCGTCCTCCTCGCCCTCCTCCCTGGGCCGAGCCGCCGCCACTGCGCCAGGATGGAGAGACCTCGGCGCGGGAGGAGATGACGCAAAATCCAGCGCTCCCCCCAAAAAAAGTGTGTCTGCAGGACGAAGATGGCGGCAACTTAGCACGGGGACTGAAGATGACTGTGGTCTCGGGAGGCCCAGCGCAGGCGACTCGGCCCCGAGGTCCGGGGGAGGCGGCGTCAGCAGTCGGAACCCCGGCGACGGTGGCGCCCGCGGGCAGACCTGCGGCAGCGGCGGCGGCGGCAGTCGGAGCGCGGGGTGGGGGGTGGGGGGGAGGGACAGCCCTGCCGGCGGCGGCTGCCCAGGCTCCGGACGCGGGCAGAGCCAGCGCGAAGTAGCGGGAGGCGGAGGAGAGGCGAAAGGAGAAGGAGAGGAAGGAGGAGGAAGAGGAGGAGAAGAGGAGGAGAAGAGGAGGAGGGGAGGCGCTCTGGTCGCCGTCAGTGGGCAGCGGAGACGCGGCATGCCCCTGGCAGGGGAGAGCGGGCTGTCCTCAGCAGAGCCATGGGGACCCGCGCTCTGACTATGCCGGGGTGACAGGAGCAGCGCCAGCCACCCTGCCACTCCAACCATCACCTCCTGCACTCAGCCTCACCACCGGCCAGCACCAGCTCAGCCTCCTCCGCCTCTCTCTCTCTCTCTCTCTCTCTCTCTCTCTCTGCCCCACCCCCATTATTGTTTCCCACTCTACAGAGGATGGGGTCGGCTGATGATTAGGTCGGAAGCAAGTCAGATCTTCTTCCAAAGCCTGGTAATATTTATGTAGGCAAAAAGAGAGAGAGAGAAAAAAAAGGAGAGAGGAATAGAGGGGAGAGAGAGAGAGAGAGAGAGAGAGAGAGAGAGAGAGAGAGAGAGAAGAAACGGGAGGAGGGGATAAGGAAATTAAACCCTTTAAGTCAATGCATATCGTGGTGACAACGGCACAGGAGCCCTCACGGTGGAGTCGGCCAGGGCTGTGCGTTCCCAAAATATGACCAGGGGTGCCTGGATGTGTCGGCAGTATGACGACGGCTTAAAAATCTGGTTGGCAGCACCCCGGGAGAACGAGAAACCGTTCATCGATTCAGAGAGGGCTCAGAAATGGCGACTCTCTCTGGCATCTCTCTTGTTTTTCACAGTCCTGCTCTCTGATCACTTGTGGTTCTGCGCCGAGGCCAAACTGACCAGGACCCGGGACAAGGAGCATCACCAGCAGCAGCAGCAACAGCAGCAGCAGCAGCAGCGACAGCAGCAGCAGCAGCAGCAGCGACAGCAGCAGCAGCGACAGCAGCAGAGGCACCGGCAGCAGGAGCCCTCCTGGCCCGCGCTCCTGGCCAGCATGGGGGAGTCCTCGCCCGCCGCCCAGGCACACAGACTCCTCTCCGCCTCCTCGTCCCCCACCCTGCCCCCCTCCCCGGGAGGCGGCGGCGGCGGCGGCAAGGGCAACCCAGGCAAAAACAACCGGAGCAAGGCTCTTTTTCTAGGAAACTCTGCCAAACCCGTGTGGCGCCTGGAGACTTGTTACCCCCAGGGCGCATCTTCGGGCCAGTGCTTCACCGTGGAGAGCGCGGACGCCGTGTGCGCCAGGAACTGGAGTCGGGGGGCGGCGGCCGGGGGGGAGGAGCAGCAGGCGAGGGGCAAGCCTCCAACTCCTCTCTGGAACTTGTCGGATTTTTACCTTTCGTTTTGTAATTCCTACACACTTTGGGAGTTGTTCTCGGGGCTGTCCAGTCCCAACACTTTGAACTGCAGCCTGGATGTGGTGCTCACGGAGGGCGGTGAGATGACCACTTGCAGGCAGTGCGTGGAGGCTTACCAAGACTATGACCACCACGCTCAGGAGAAGTACGAAGAGTTTGAAAGTGTGCTCCACAAGTATTTACAATCGGAGGAGTACTCGGTGAAGTCCTGTCCTGAGGACTGTAAGGTAGGAACCCTGGATTCCCCCCTTTCCTGCGCTTTTTTTTTTTTTAATCTCTGCTGGATCTAGGTGTCTTTGAGTATTTATTTATTTATTCGCTCTGGTTGTGTTGCTTTAGTCGTTGTTTCTCTGGCTACAAGAGCTTGATTTGCTGCTTGAGGCGAAAATACCTGGTGGATTGCTGGTGGGTTGATGGCTCTGGGAACCCTCAGAAGACCAGGAACACACCTGGTCTCCGGAGATAACAAAGGTGGGGCTTTAACTATTTCTTCCAGCTGTGGAGTTGGATGGGACTCTGTTAACAGCTTTTTAAAGAGGGAATTTGAATAGGTTTGTCAGGAAGAGGAGGGGACTGCAGACCCATGACCACAGGTGGCCAGAAGGGTCAGAAACAGGCATGCATGGCTTGGCATGGGGACCTGTACATAAGGCACTATAGTGTACATCAGATAGTGACATCATGGAGCTGGTTGACTACAGGAACAAGAGAAAGTACAGTTGTTTATGTAGAAAAAAAGCAAACAAACAAGATTCACATGTTTTTCCAGGGGTATTTCTTGTTCTTAGGAAAGTGTGGGGGCCTACCTGAGCACACTAGTCTCCTTAAGTTTCCTGTTTTCTCTTGGACATTTACATAATTATTGATCTAAGAATTACCATGAGTGGAAAGTTGTAGAATTGGGTATATAGTGATTGATTTGCAATGTTAGGCTATTAGTCTGACACCTTATATAATTACTTTGGATTCTTCAGTAAGCATTTTTTTTTAGAAATGCTCAATGGCAAATCTTTGGTGCCATAAATTAAAAGTTTCTGAAATATTTAAAAGCATGCACTATACTTAACTTCTTCCTGTTGAATATAAGGCGGAATGTGACCTTTGGTGATTAGCAATGGGGGAATCTATGCAAAAATTAGTCTGTTACCCTGGGCACCCATCCTACTAGAAGTGTCACTGTCCGTGGTGCTGGAATTAGATTTGCCCAAGAGATAGGTTGGAGATACTGCAGTGACCTTTAGTAGGGAAGGAATGATGTCAGAATCTCTATAAACCTCAATGCCTCCCCCCAGACAATTTATTAAACAAAATAATAAAATGGTATTGCTTTTCAAGATAACACACTGCACACTCTCTCTTCTTTGTCTTCCCTACTTCTCCAACCTTACAAACAGAATTGTCTCTCTTTGCCTCACTTGCTTTGTACTGAGAAAGTGCAATCAAGTGCAGTGTAGGATCAAAGGATTTCTGATGCTTCAACAAGGGAGCTGATCAAGCATACCTGTTTTCAATGAATGTCACGCAAGGGCCATATTTGACTTTGGGTTGTGCTTTTGAAAATGAAGTGAAACTTAAGCTGACCTTGCTTATGATCATTGTTTAAGACCAGAGACCTAGACCTTGAAATATTGATTGTGAGTTTATGACATTAATCAAGAATGCTATCTCATTATTCAAGAGGACCTCAAACTTCCCTACCCATTTTTTAAGACCATACCACTATAACTCATGTCTGGAGACTACACCCAATCTTAATGGTAAAAATGACCAGTGAATGACTAGTGTATTTACTGTATAGTTAAGGTGTGCTGTATTGAAAGTGTAAAGATAAAGAAACTGGGATTTCTGGTAATTGTACTACTAATTAAAGGTTACAGAGGTTTCAGTGTATTTACTTTTAAGAGCAGCAGTACTAATTTGAATTTGCATGCTCTCCTGAATCTAAGCCCTTACAAGAATTTTTATAATTTCATCTTACATAGCTCAGTATTAGTCTGTGTTGATAATAGATTGCAGCATGATTTCAAATATGTCATTTATCTTTGTTCAGATAGCCAAATAAAAATTTTAAATGGTTCTTTTCTCCTTGACCCAAATTCATTCTTACCATGATACTTATATCATCATAGTTATAAGGTACAATGTAAGAAAAATTTGTTTTTGTACAACATAGACATTATCAAGTGAATTTAAAAAGCATATTATAAAATTCTAACTCCTTTAAAAATTCTTCTTTAGGATGGAAAGTAAACATAGATGTTTGAGAACTTCACCATCATCACCCAGAATTTATTGCCTATCATGTCTTACAGGTATTTCTTGCTGGTAGAGATTTCCTTTTTTGGTCATTCGGAACATTTATTTCATAATAGCTCTTTCTAAAAATTATATTTTCAAATTTAAAGTGCTAGCATTCTTGGATTATGATTCACAAATCCACTGAGTATTTGTAGATGTGCCATATAGGCATTGCTCCTTAGTTCAATGTATGGTTTCTCTAGGATTCTGCAAAGGTCCCAAACATACCCATTTGCAAATTATATCACAGAGCTTAAAATGTTACTATTGTCTTTGAAGATTTTGTCTGAGTTTCTTTCTCAATACTTTTACTTACTTCAAACATAATTGTAACTACGGAATGAGTATCATCAGAAGCCTGTCCATAATAGATGCTCTATGCAAAATTTTCCACTTTTAAGGCAGTTACAATGACATAGAGCAGATTAAAATAAATGCATTGTACTTATGAAATTGGTCAGATATTCGTGAAAATCCAATTTAATAGTTTACATATATATGTATATATTTATTAAAATTGCAGATAGGATACACAAAATTGTGTTAGCACTACAAACTAGTGGGGTTATTATTTTGGGAGAAATATGTTAACTTTTTATACCAATGTATAATTAGCAGCAATGATTTCTAACTTTTCAGATTTAGGATGTACCATTATGTTCTTGGTTTATATTCTCCCCCCATTAAAATTGCCCCATTTTAAAAACATGTTAATTAAATGAACTCTGTGTTAAAAAATTTTAAAGCCTTTTTGACCAATTAAAAATAACCCTTAAAATAGATGTAATAGAATTACAGTGTCTTGGAGCCAGGCATGGTGACACACTCATGTAAATCCAGCTCTCAGGAGGCTGAGGCAGGAGGATGTCAAGTTTGAGTCCAGCCTGGGCTACAGAGTGAATTCCAGGCCAGAATGGCACCTATCTCAAAAAAAAAAAAAAAAAAAAAGGAAAAGAAAAGGAAAGAATGATAGTGTTTGGAATTCACAGTAGATGGAAATCAAATACAGCTGTTTTATTATGGAAAATATCTGTATTTTAATGTGTCATTTGCACCTGAAGATATTTTTAATTTCATCAGAAATATCTGCTTTAATATTTAAGGGGTAAATGTTTGCATTTACATAAAATTAAAGGACAAAAAAATCTTGTTGCGTATATCACTAACACTATACTTCTTAGGCTGTCTTTATTATATAAATTATATAAAGACAGTAATTTTTCTGCATAGTTTGCAGCATGACTGAAAACAATGTTTTTGTATGTAAAAGAATCTGAGAAATATGTCAAAATTTTCAAGTTAGCCAGCATTATTAAAAATGAAGCATTTTATTTTGCAAAATTTACAAATGTATATCATTTTCATGCTTAATTGTTAGTAAGTAAAGATTTTCTCTTATACAGGCCATTCTTTGGCTCCTAAGTAGTCTAGAAGACAAATACTGTGAAGAAGGGGCATTTTGATGATATGAATTTTTGTGTTACAAGTGAACTTTTGTGGTCACTAATAACTTTATTTACTTAATATTCCCTCGGATGGTTGATCAGTGAACAGAGGTGTGAGATTCAATTCTAGCACAGCATCGCACCATTGGCACGTCAGTTACCTTAGTGAAGGTTTAGTCTTCATACTCCCTAGAACACACGCATTCTCGTCTTGCTATTTTTATGAGCTTATTTGCATTTAACGACACCAATCACAATCCCTCTTGTGAATGTCAAGAATCTGTAATGACTGTCTTTGAGACTTTCTGTCTTCCTGCAGATACTGCTCACAACATTACTTGATTTGAGAACATAGATTTTGAGTTACGTAATGTGTACTTTGAGGAGGAGAACATGCTTTTATTTATCTTATTGTCACACACTATAGATTCACAAATAAATAGTTTTTTAAAATGGAAGATCAGATAGCTCACAATTCTTTCCATTTAAATTTTGAACCTAAAATGTTTTGTCATTGATTGAGTGCTATTGTGCATTTTGTGTCACTGTCCAGAGGTGTGGGGCACACATCTATAAATAGCTCTCCTTTGCATTCTATCACCTCATTCTTTCCACTTCTCTTCATAGCAGAATGGCTGCTCTAAAGAATCAAATAGCCTGGTCCATACAGATGATTTCTTTAGCCACAAATAAGGCTATTTATAGGGCTAATGATACTATCACAATAGTTTTTTTGCATTGGATTTGTTATCCTTTTTGTTGCTTTCTATGCAACTGCTGATTTATGATCTGTGCTTTATTTTTATAGAGAAACACCCAAAATTTTGTCTTAATATTCAATGTCTCTTATATTACATACCAAAGAATGAATATTTTTACTTCAGACTTGTAACTGGGTCAACTTAGTAGCTATATAGGGCATAACCTAAATACTGAGATACACTGGTTTTAATCTCTTCTATTAGATGAGGTCAGTGTCTGCATATGCAAGGTGAATTAAAGTGTGAAGGAAAGAGATCAGGTAGAGCTCCACTCTCATACTCCTCCACCTGTAAATCATAACCCATTAAGACAATTTTTCTTGCTAGATTTAATAAAAGAGAACAAATATGTAAATAATGGTTTGAAAGAAAGAACTATTTTGATTTGAATTATCTGTGCTGTTATTTTACTTTTATTTCTCAAATAAAAAAAACAACTTCATATTCTGTGTCAATCTCACAGTGACCAAGCTCCAAATACCTTGCTATTTAATATCAATTTGTGTCATATAGCTGTTTCTTCAGTGTCAGTGAACACAGACTCTAAATCAGTGATCCATGGGAGAGAATGGTGAACTATCCTGGGGGGTCTTTGGACATACTGAGGCCTGGATGTACCCAGTGTCCAGAGGTTCTGATGTCACTGGTCTGGCTGGGCTCTTGAAAGGCTGTCCCAGTGATTCTAAGGTACAGCCAAGGTTGAGGATGAAATGCATGGAAATATTTAATTCTGTGTTTAAAGTGCCAAAAGATAATGGTTTATTTTCCTCTTTGGTGATCTCCTTC